CCCCCCCCCCCCCCCCCCCCCCCCCCCCATTCGACAGCCACTAGCAGGCACTCATCTTCATCTGCCTTGCTTTAGCGTGCTGTCTTTCTGATGAATTAATGCCCCCCCCCAACCAGAAATGCATTAGATGATTGTTGTCAGTGTTGTATGACTTCCTAACCCCCTCCCCTTCCCTGCACTGGTGATGGGGGTGGGCTGGGTATGGTGAGGGTGGTTATTAAGATTTTATGCCCCCCCCCCAACATATTTACCCCCAGATATTGTTGTCTTCCCCCTTCCCAACAGGCTGCTGGATAATGCCCTTCATTTTATTCCCATCCTGCTTTTCTCAAGCCGGACATGATTTCCGATCGGCTGACTTTGATTGGTCGGCAGCCGTGGGCTTATTCTATGTTCCTGTCACCCCACTGTCGAAGGATTCCCAGGTGCGGCAGAGCGCCACCTACAGCCTGCATCAGCCCCAGGGCAACAAGGAGCACGGCACAGAGCGAAGCGGGAACCTCTACAAGAAAAGTGACGGGTATGGGGGGCAGGTTGTGCGGGGGGGGGGGGTGTTGCCACGGTGACAGGCTCTCCTGTATCCCTATTATGTGCATGTTTACAAATCCCTAATTAGATCAGTGCTGCGTAGCTCTGTGTTCTGGTGGCTTGTGAGATGATCTGCACCCCCCCCCCCCCCCCCCCCCCCCCCCAGCTCGCTAACCAGGAGTCTCCCTGTCATTTCCAGCCTGAGGAAGGTGTGGCAGAAGCGGAAATGCTCCGTGAAGAACGGCTACCTGACAATATCGCACGGCACGGTGAGTAGAACCCGCCTGCCCCAGGTCCTAGTGCCCCCCCAGCAGGGCAGCGCTCGGGTGGAGGGGTCCTAGTGCCCCCCCAGCAGGGCCAGCGCTCGGGTGGAGGGATCAGCCTCCTCATGTACGCGAAGCATCAGTCTTTTCAGGAGAGGCTCCTCTTTGCTGCGTCTGTTCAATGATAATAACACAGCTGCTCAGTTTAATCCAATGGGAGCCAGTAATCCAGTGTGTGGGGGTCTAACACTGCCTGTGATTGGTTGCCCTAAATGGTCCCCCCAATCGGCCGTGAGGTTTAAAAGCCCCATTCCTCCTCATGGTGCTAATGGCCGCCCTGGGTTTTTATGACGACCTCGTCTCTATTGGGCCATTAATTCATTTGAATGCATTATAACCATAAAATTCAGAATCGCGATTCATTAAGGCTCATTCCCGCTGTGGGGGGCAGCTCTACCCCCCCCCCCCCCCCAACTTTTAGTGGACTCTGTCTGCATCCAGGCTCTGAGGTGCAGGAGCCCATAATCATACCCACCGAGTCTCACTTTGTGCCCACAGATGTGTCCGATGGTAGCTAATTCTCACGTTTACGCACGTTTCTGAAAGCTAAAAAACAAAACGAAGACCTGATGTTCTGGAAAAATGCTCTTGGGACGGCCCTGGAAATATCAGGCCTTGTACAAACCTTTATATTTTGAAGGTGGGGGTACAATATGGATCTACGAGCTACAGCGTTTAGCTGCCATGTTTGTTTATGGAGGGAAATGGCCGTAGGCCCCACTGGGATAGATACTGAGATGGATGGTTCAGCCTGAACGTCAGATAACACGGCGCGTCTCATAACTCAGAGCCGGCGGGGGCTGAGACGGACGTGTCCCCCACTCTAAAAGGAACATAAATACCTTGGATTTGTGTCTCTTCATACCTGGCTTCTTCTTCTCCCGTCCAGGCTAACAGACCGCCAGCGAAACTGAACCTGCTCACCTGCCAGGTGAAGCACAACCCGGAGGAGAAAAAGAGCTTCGACCTCATATCACGTACGCTGGTCCACCGTCCCACCTGCCCACAATTCCCCGTACTTTTGATCGAGCGGCACGTGCAGATCATGTGACCGAACCCCTCTCATATCTCCTGTAGTGGTGTAAATTGAATCAGGGAAAGCCTTCCAGGTCTTGTGTTACAAAGAGAGTACCTTTAGAAGAATCCGGAAGGGGAGATGCACAGACGTGCATCAGTGTTGGGAAGTGTGTGTGTGTGAATGTGTGTATGTATCTGTCTATGTCTGTCTGTCTATGTCTGTCTGTCTCTGTCTGTCTGTTCATGTGGAAATGGGGAGTTTATGGCGTATGCCATGGCCTGTAATTACGGAGCTGAGGTCTCCTTTATCAAACTAGTGTTTATACTTGTTTACACTCATTAATGGGAGATGGACAGACTGGAACATTTTTCTTCTGGAATATTCTGAGAGGTTTCCATGCCCTCCATAGTGCAGTAAAGGGGGCTTTGTGTTCCTTACTGCTGTTGCTTAGCAGTCTGGGTAATGCATGTTGGCAAAGCCAAAGCCGTGCATCCTTACGAACTGCTCGTCTGGGCTGAAGTAAATAACCAGACGGTCCGATCCTGCGCCTGAGTGATCTTAAAGCCGTTTTAGCCACCGCTCGCCTCATGAGTTGCGATATATCCTCTGCAAAAATGAATTTACGATTCCCGGCTTTGTGTGGAAGTTTATCAGATGCCGTTCCCTTGGCAGACGGCAAGATTTAATCTCCGGGTACCCAAACAGTTGAGTGCAAGTTCTGCAATCTTCCTGCTAGGTCTGGCAGTCACAGGGTGAATTTTAAGGGGCGTCTATAAATATTGCACACCATCAACACTTTTTGCCATTTTCCTCAGCTCTGCTTTCTGTTTGCATCAAACAGAAACAGCTGAAGAGAGATTGTTTACTTGAATTCTTATTTACTTGTTTACTGGTAATATTTGAAGGATTTATTTTAACCAGCTGGAGTTGTAGAAGCTGCTCAATTAATGCTATTTCAACTGCTAAGTTCTGGTCCTGTACTGCCAAAATAATATGACTATTGTGGTCTCCTCCTGGTCTTCTCCACTGTCATGGGAAACGGCGGTCTGTACCCTCCCTGTGCAAATCTATGAAATAACTAAATCGCAGCTATTAAATTACCTGATGAAAAGTGTGAATTAAAAATAACTGTTCTTAGTTTGTTTCTATGCATTCCTCCCTCCCCCCGTGAGGCCTTAAAGTGGTCTGATCCAGCCTCCCCTGCAGCACATGTGAGTCCTACGGGCCGTGTTCAGTTAAGGGCCGATTTGGTTGATGGTGTTAATCGGGGTGACGTGTGAATCTCATTTTTCGCACACTGCTGTAAGTTATAAAAATCCCAGTGGTGTGTTCCTCAGCAGTCCGTCACTAGGATAAGTCCCGTTCCACAGAAACCCGTAGTTTGTTTTTTCTTTTCACTTTCAAGTTGACATCATCTTTTCCTACGCGCGCCAAACTAAGGCTCCCGTTGTTTCCAGAAATTTCCCTCTCAAAGGACAGGGAGGGACGACATTGTCCAGCGCTCACGCTCTGATGTTGAAACGCTGTTACATAAGCGAGGCCACTTCCCAGCCCTGTGCTATCAAGCAATTCATTTTTTTTATGTGGGACATTTTATATTTATGTTATTGTTTTTTGCAAAGGCCTCTCTCCGCCACTGTCTGCAGCCTGTTGGTCTGGCATTCATCTGTGGCCATTGCAGGCTAAAAAGCTGATTTAGCCAGGAAGACGTTAAGCAGCTGTGATCGTACTGTGGTCCCACCCACTCACGTGTCCATCAATAGAATGCATTGTGTGTTTCATTCTGAGCGATATCAATGACATCCTTGCTTGAGGCATGATTTGCCTTGTATTCCTTCTCTCTTTTCTTCCTCAACTTCCTCTCCCGGTCTTTCTGCAGATGACAGGACGTATCACTTTCAGGCCGAGGACGAGCAGGAGTGTCAGATGTGAGTGTTGGTTGATCACGCCGTGGGAGGTTGTTGGGGTAACGCTGACCCCACACTGACCTCATCCCATCCCCCCTCCCCGCCGCTGCAGATGGATCTCCGTGCTGCAGAACAGCAAAGAGGAGGCTCTGAATAACGCCTTTAAGGGTGACCAGCACGTGGGCGAAAACAACATTGTACAGGAGCTGACCAAAGCCATCTTGGGCGAGGTGAAGAGGATGCCCGGCAATGACACGTGCTGCGATTGCGGAGCCCCTGGTCAGTGAACAGGAAGTAGTTTATGGGAGAGTGGTGCATTGTGGGATAGATTGTAGTCCTGTAATCTTGTTTATGATCTGATCATATATTGCTTTGTTGATCGTTTGAAGGTTGAATAGTTGGTTCTTAAACAAATGTGTCAGGGCATCCAGTACTCCGAAGCATCTCCAGCATCTCTTGTGAGATCATTAACATCTTCTTACCATCCATCCCGTCAAGGTCCCACCTGGCTTTCCACTAACTTAGGCATCCTGACCTGCATAGAATGTTCTGGAATCCACCGGGAACTTGGTGTCCACTACTCTCGGATACAGTCCCTTACATTGGACGTACTTGGAACGTCTGAACTCTTGGTAAATTTCAGGATCTTTACGTTCAAGCCAAAATATCTCGAGACAAAACAAGGTTATTCTTGGAATGTGGTGCAAGTGATGTGCAAATTAATCAGGATAAATACAGATCTTGAAGACTAACATACGCTCAAGGCTACAGGCTGGATTTGGTCGCAGTCCACCGGATCTGCTCCTTAAGGCTCAGGAGTAGCGTGGTGTTTTGGAGCCGACGTGACCGAGTATGTCTGTCTGCCAAACAGCTGGCCAAGAACGTGGGAAACTCAGGCTTCAATGAGATCATGGAGGCCTGCCTGCCCGCAGATGACGGCGTGAAGCCCAACCCCAGCAGTGGAATGTAAGAGCCCCATTGGACGCCCTGCCTCGCCTTCCCATCAATGTCCTACTTCGTAATTTCCTTCTGCCACCTTCAGTGGCCTGTATTGCGCTAAAATAATTCAAGCAAAAGTAATATTCAGAAATGGGGTTTTAGAATTTTGTAGGTTAGTGAATTTTGCAGTGGACCTTCTTTAATTTTTTAATTCGCGATTCTTCCGCCTTTTCCTGCAGGCAGGCGAGGAAGGACTTCATCACGGCCAAGTACACGGAGCGGCGCTTCGCGCGGAAGAGACACGCGGACCCCGGCTCCCGGCTGCACGCGCTCTGCGAAGCCGTCAAGGCCCGCGACATCTTCTCGCTCATCCAGGTCTACGCCGAGGGTGTGGACCTCATGGAGCCAATCCCTCTGGCCAACGGACACGTGAGTCTGGGGAGGGGGTGGGCGTCGGGTTCGAGCATGTGACCCAATGGGCATGGCGTGTGGCACAGTGCCTGTGATCGGAAGGTCACCGGCTTAAATCCCAAGGATGGTGGAGTAATTTCAGCGCTGGGCCCTTAAGCCGCAGTTGCTCTCTGTCTGACCTTAGTTCAGAAAAAAAAACAAAATGTCAGTTGGTTTAGACAGAAATATTTGCCAAATAAAATATAATGAGTAACAATATTTACGTATTTTATACACAAGGATAGATGCGTAGAATGGGTAGAATTTTTAGCAAATTTCCTCATTCAGTCATTCATTCATTCACCTCATTCAATCACTCCATTCATTCATTCATTCCATTCATTCATTCCAAAAATAGGTCAGTTAACCATCTGCTCCCATTGACCACAGGAACATGGGGAGACCGCGCTTCACCTGGCCGTGCGATTGGTGGACCGGACGTCTTTGCACATCGTGGACTTCCTGACTCAGAACAGGTGATGGGGGTGTCACCATTGGGGGGGGAGGAGCCAAGGAGCAGTGAGCCCATTTTACCCTCAGGGTGTAACACTGGGGCATGTTTGACTGGATTGTGAATGGGGGGGGGGGGGGGTTTTTAATGCCCATAGGGGCCTTTTCCCCCCCCCCCCCCCCCCCCCACCAGTGTGAACCTGGACAGGCAGACGGCCAAGGGGAGCACAGCACTGCACTACTGCTGCCTGACGGATAACAGCGAGTGTCTGAAACTGCTCCTGCGGGGGAAGGCCTCCATCGAGATCCGTAAGCCTGACGGCCGCCGACTTTGGCTTTTTATACCTGCTTTGCACATCGAATTTGCTCAGTTTTCTATCAGCAGGGTCGAGTGCCAACAGTAGAAGGCAGTAGATAGAGAGAAGTAAGGGTGTATACAGGGGGGTGGGGCCACAGGGTCACTGGCACCAGCTGAAAGCTGATTGGCCCCTCTCCTGTCACTCACTGATTCAAAACATATCATTGGCTGATAAGTTTGGCCCCACTGTGTGAATTAAGGCCCCTCTTATTCCCTTCACCTTAAAATATTGTAGAATCATCCCCGGACTGGATGTGCCTGTCACAGCCCTCTCACCCCTGGGGGCTGCATGTCGATGAGTTTATAGCTGCGTTGTCCTGTCTGTTTCTTCATTTTCTTTCTTACTCCACCCCACCCCGTACAGCCAACGAGGGAGGGGAGACGCCGCTGGACATCGCCAAACGTCTGAAACATGCGCAGTGTGAGGAGCTGGTGAGCACGTCCCCCCCTCCCCCCCCCCAGCAGGCACGAGTGACACGTTAATCATCTCCCCTATGCTGCTGTCACTTTAAATGATGTTTGTTCCCGCTGCCCTGACAGCTCAGCCAGGCGCTGGGCGGCAAATTCAATGCCCACGTCCACGTGGAGTATGAGTGGCGTCTGCACCATGAAGACCTGGACGAGAGCGACGAGGACCTCGACGAGAAGGTGGGCGGCTGGGCACAGCCGGACCTGGCTCTCTGGAACCTTCCGTTGTAGCGACATGGAACCCTGTTTAGAAGGGATGAGTAAGATGAGATGAAACGTGCTTGACAGATTCGAATAATCATTTTGGTAATTAGTTGTGGGTGGCATGTAGCTCAGTAGAGCTGTGTGCCTGGGATCAGAAGGTTGTTGGTTCAAAGCCCAGGGTCAGCCGAATTCATAGTTGGGCCCCTGAGCAAGGCCCCGAACTCCAATGGCTCTGAAGGCAAACTGACACTGTGTTTTTTTTTTTTTTGGTGTAAGCATCTGTTAAATTAATAAACTGTGAGTGTAATTGTAGTGGTATGAGTAGCCAAGGTCAGACATTAGGCCTTAGTCTGTAAGGCTGATCCAAGTGGACGTGACCCTAGGTTGTACGCCTTCTTTCCTCCGTAGCCGAGCCCTCACCGCCGAGACGAGCGTCCCATGAGTTGCTACGCCCCTAGCAGTACCGCGGCACAGCCTGGCCCGGCCCCCTCGGCCAGGGAGGGGGGCGGCCCGGCCACGGAGAAGCCGAGGACCTACCTCCCTAACCTGGTGAACAATGAGACCTACGGAACCATCCTGCCTCCTCCCGGCCAGCCGGCACTGCCCGTCACCACCGCGGCTCCTCCGCTCCCGCCCCGCAACCTGGGCAAAGGTGAGCGCCCCCCCCCACCCCCCATCGGCCATCTGGTACTGGTGCTTCAGAAATTTCCTGTTTTTTTTCCCCTCTGGCCTCGTCCTCGAGACTTATTTCCAAAACCTGATTACGGTCTCGACCCCTGAACTAATTCAGACACTCGCTAATTAGCACGTGGCTGTCTGGTCACATGACCCATTAGTCCGCTTGAGCTTTTCTGGCCGCAGTGACGGTCATGAGGTGGGGCAGGAATCAGCCCCCGAACCTGCTGTCATCTTCATCTAGTGGGCCAGAGACCCAAATTAGTTCTTCTCCAAATAAGGTGTGGAAAGTTTCTGGTCGTGTTTTGGGGCTAAATGTGAAGTAAGACGTGTGATCTGCAGCGTTGGGCTTTAGGACGGCGTGTCTCTGCAGTGCTTCCCGCTCTGGGCCTCCAGACCAACAGCCCCGGCGCCTGGAAGTCGGCCTCCATCGACGTCACCGGAAGGCAGAGGTCGTCCTCGGACCCCCCCAACATGCACCCTCCCGTCCCCCCTATCCGTGTCACCTCCACGTCCGGTGAGTCTCCCCATCTCCCCTCTGACTGGGATATACTGCCCCACAAAGGCAGAACACGGTAACTACGCCGACACTGACGCTGAGAAAAAGGGCTTCGAAATGTGTTTTTGACTGTCCACAGTTAACCTAAGAGATTTTGAGATACTTGTAACTCAATTTTGATTAAATATGCAGTTGCGGTGTTTTGCCTATAGAGGGCAGTATTGCAGTCCTCACCTTGCGGCATTAAGTGTCTACAATAAGAACCCTTTCTGCAGTTCTTGCGACAGTCACTCCCCCGCTACCCGTGTCCAGGATGGCGGGCATGATGGAGACCATAAGCCTCCAGTCCAAAACAGGTCCTGTGTCCTCTGTGGACCCCATGAAGTCCTCCTCTTCTCTAGTGACAATGGGCAGGACTGCACCCCCAAAGTCTCCTGCCAGGTGAGCACTTCCTGCATCACACTGGTGTCATATGACTGGCCCCACATGACCTGTTCCTCACCGTCCAACAATATCAGATGGACGTCACTACCTGTCATCCTTCAAAAATGCTATCTTGCAAGCGCCGAGGGAGCAAAATTGATTTTTATTTGATTTATCTTTTACGTTTTCTGCTGTTAGCCGAGGGAAAACAACGGCACTGTTGAGGTAACAGTGAATGAGCTGTTAAAATGAGTTTTTTGAGCATGAATAAAAAACGCTGGGTGTGTAGATGAAGCTTCCGCTGTGGGTTTTGGTCAGCGGACGCTCTGACTTCCACAAGGCCGTTAGGTGCAGCCCGCCCGTGCATTGCCGCACTGCGGGCTCGTACACCTCCGGGGCCCGGGAAGGTCGTTTGGCTTTCAGCCGTAGGTTTGTGTGAGCGGAGATTCTCTCCTGGTGACTGAGGTCTCCTTGTGATTTTCGCAGCACGGAAAAGCGCTTCAAAGGACCTGCACTGCAGCCCACACCGGCCGAGAAACCAGGTAAGGAACAGAGCGCGTCAAGCGCAGACTGGCTCTGTGTGTCTGCCGAGGACAGGCATGCAGACGGGGCCGTCTGCGCAGCAGTCTGCATGGCCGTCTGCGCGGCCTGCCCTCCTCACGTCGTGTTAAGCACCAACACGTCTGTCTGTCTCCCTCGATCCTCCACAAAGCCAAAGAAGTCCCCGGATGTCTGGCTAACTCCCTCGGTCTGGCCCCACCCCCTGCCCCCATGCCCAGGAGGACGTACCCTGTAAGTTGCCTCTTCCAGTGTCACCAGTGTATGGATCAGTTCAGTGTCACGATTCAAATGCAAGGGGGGGGCTGGAATTTCCAGTGGCAGCATTTACCACAAACTCACTCCACACATTTGCATGAGGCCCTGAGGACGGGAGGCCTGCTGGCCGCAAACAGTGACTACATTAGGGCAGCGGGGGAGGGGCTCAAATTCACGCTTTGCGGGTGGGGGGCCCAGAAACAACAAACCCTGCCCTGGGAATTTCCTTTGAGAAAGAGCAAAAAAATGCCGTTAAATACCATAAGGCCACGGTACCTTGTTTCCCAATATCTTCTTAATCCCTCTCTTTGTACAAGAGTCCGCCACAAAGTCTGTGGATCAGGATGTTATATTGGGGGGGGGGGGGTTCTTTTCTGCTTCACCGACTAACTCGTCTCTGGCTTGGACCCCAGGGGCAGTTTCCATGGTACTCTCTCCCGATTTAGGGCTGCCGATAAGCTTCCCCTAGCCGGACGCCCTCCCTGCGGGTTTTATCAGCAGTGCCGTGCCGTGAATGGCTCATTGTGCCAGAAGCACTCATGAATAATTAATTCCGGGCCCGGAAGGAACAGGCGCGGAATGCCGAGCGGCTCCATATCGCCGCCCTGCTGTCAGACTGTGATAAATCATGCAGATGACCCACCTGGGGCATGTCGCAGTCTGGAAGTGGATTTGGATTGTTCCAACTAAAAAAAAAAAAAACAGACAAATTATAGGACTTGTGTGATGCTTACAGGCCGGCTGACTTCTCTGCGCTTTCAGAAACAGAAGCCCAAGCGAGTGAAGGCCATTTATAACTGCGTGGCTGATAACCCGGACGAGCTGACCTTCTCCGAGGGAGAGGTCATCGTGGTGGATGGGGAGGAGGACCAGGAGTGGTGGGTAGGTACACATTCGCTGGACCGGCCTCCTTTCCAGTGATGGTTTAAGAGCCAAAGACTTAAGTTTATAAAATGTCCGCAATCGGATGCCTACATTCCCGTGTAAATCAACAGAAAAGATGAAGGTCAGTGTTGCATGTGAGTCAGCTGCTGGTTTTTAAGGGGCAGGGCTGTACCATTATAAGGATTTGGGGAGGCGGAAGGGGGGGCGGCCCTGACAGCACGCCAGCAACTTCAGTGGGCATGATGTCATCCCAGGCCCCCCCCGCCCCCGTCCGCCCCCGTCCGCCTTCCTTCCTTCCCAGCTGTGGCTTGTTTTTGTACAAAATAGATTTTTTTTTTTATTGTTCCCTGTCCTAGTGTCCGAAAGTACAAATGTATCCCTCACCAATTTTATTGTTTCCGTTTTATTCCTCGGGCTTCTCCGACACCCAGTAACGTCCTGTGGCGGAATAAACAAGCGGGGTTTCACACCTCCTTACCCATGTCACCCAATGGTGCTACATTTTTAAGATTAAATCTTTAGGAAAGAAGATTTATAAAAGTAAGACTGTCATTGGCTGTTGACATGTTGACTTATCAGTCTTAAGATGAGTCGCCTGTTGCCATGGTAAGGGTCTCCATGGAGATGACATGACACGTTGTCCGTTGTGTTTACAGCTGGGCCACATTGAGGGGGAGCCAATGAGGAGGGGGGCTTTCCCGGTGACGTTTGTGCAGTTCATCGTGGATTGAGAAACATCTTTGCAGTCGGGGTGGGTGAATGGGGGGGGTCACAGAGACTGAAACTATTCTCAGTTCCCCCAACAATTTATTGACACCCTCCCCCCCCCATCGACCTGTCCACAAGCAAGCAAGACTGCACCTGGACAAAGCAGCAGTGCTGTATGTTCCTCAAACTCTGGTCAGGTGACTTGGTCAGGTGACTTGGTCAGGTGACTTGGTCAGGTGACTTGGTCAGGTGACTTGGTCAGGTGACTTGGTCAGGTGACCCGGCAGCAGACGCTGCTTCAGGCTAAAGCAGTGCCACACTGTGTGATGTCACACCATTTAAGCTATAACACGGGCACATGTTCATACCATTTGAGCCAAACCACAGGAGAAAAAAAAAGACTAGGCTGCAAGTTCATGCAATAAATGCACTTTTCATTCAGTTTATTTATTGTGGGATGGCGATTTTCGAAGGAATACTGTGGAAACCCAGAATCTGTTATGAAGTTTGACCACAGCTTCCATTAAATGAAGGCAGTTTGGGCCGTTATTTGACGGAAGGAGAGGATACTTACGGTCTGTGTGTTTAATTTCCATCCTGCAAAGTGTTATCATTTTTAATAAGCTTTCTTTCTGCATGACAGCCAGAATTCCACTGAACAGCCCATGAAAAAAGTCCTGCGGAGCATTTGATAGCACGTGGGGCGGATAATCCCCTACCGGTGCTTTCCCGAGAATTTGCTGTCCTCAGACATCTCGCCAAGAGGGGGGCGCTCACGTGCACACGTGGCCAGTAGCAGCAGGGGTGCTGGGAGGGGTCATTCGTAAGTAGTTCAGGGGTATCGGAGACCCGACGTGCGAAGAATGACCATGAGATCTTACTCAGCAGAAAGCGACTCACCCAGCGGGCGAAGAGGCTACGTTTGCGGTCGCCAAGGGAGACACACACTGCCTTTACTATGGTACTGTGCTAAAAAACAATGTGAAACAGAGCCGTGATGTTAGTCACCCCCGTGTGAGTTTTGGATTTTTTTTCCGATCGCTGTTGCTAATGCAGCAGTCTGTTCAACATTCCTGCATTCATTTTGTCCCGTCGCACAGCAAAGTGCGCAGATCTTTAATAATATAACTGGAACCGAAAGCCGCGTCTGCTTTAGCGACGAGCCGCTGACTCACCCGTATCGCAAGTGAGGGATTGTGATTTTATGCAGGTGGCCTGAGAGGAAATTTTCTGCTGTATTTGAAGTACATTAGCTATGTGCCCTAATTTCTGCTCTTTTTTGGCCTTTGTGTTTTAAACTCTTTCCTTTTTGTCTATCTATAGTTTCTTGTTTTTTAATTTTTTAGTGTTGTTCAGCTACAGCAGAAGTATAGGTGGCAGATAGGTGTGTTTTTTGTTTGTGTTATTTAATTTTTATCGGGTGCAGCGTCTGAGAGACGCTGCATGTGTCACCATGGGACCTGATGCCTTCTGGGAGACAACAAAGTTTCTCTGGATGGATGATGTACCAAGAGTTTCAGCACTAACTTAATGCTCTACAGGAGACCAGAGTGGAGTACTTGCTTGTGAGCCCCTCCCTCTCCTGAGTGCACGCACATGCGGACACACACACACACACACGCACGCACGCACGCACACACACGGGCTATGAAACCCATTTTCCTTACTGCCTGGTAGTTGAGATGTTCTTGCTAGAGGAGAAAAGGTGTCATGTGATCTTCACTCAGATGTTACCCCTTAGCTGACCTGCCCTGGTGCCCCTAAGTGACCAATTTGTCACTCTGTTTCTGTAAGACGGGACGTACCTCCTTGTGTCATGTGCTGGGGTGAAGCATTTGGTGCGGGGGGGGGGGAGGTTAATGCAGCGAGGAGAGAGCAGGTCAGAGATAGAAGCTTGTCGATCTGACGGTGTGGCCAAACAAATAGGCCAATAAACAGAAGGTCCCCAAGGTCACCTGACTTCTGTCTGTGATTCAGTGCCCCCCACCCCCGCAGATAACCGAGAAGGAAGCGGTTGCGAGTTGCATCATGGATACAGGTGCGTGGGCTGTATGTTCTGGCTCCCATGTGTTAAATCCTGTTTGTTCACTTTTGAAATAAGTCCATATTTTAAATATATATTGTTAAAAAATGTAATAAATTTGATTTTGGTTGCAGAGCAACTCTATATATATATATAGAATAACATTTAATTTTTAAATGAAATATACCCTTTATTGAGTATGCATTGCAGTAACCCAAGGCAGAGAGGGGAGGCGTGTGTAATAACTATGTACTATCCATGTTACTATTATGTTAACTCACTGGAAATAGGACAGTTAATTTGTTACTGTAAATATATTTACAACTTATTTGTCCGTATTTAAATGTAAAGGAGTTAACCCTTTGAAAGCTGACTGTACTTGGCTGCGTTGTGGTGATTTTACGTGACAACGGCGCACCCCCCCCTGCGAGATTCCGATGCCGGACCGCAAGCGCTCATTCGGGTCGCCGCTGCATCTACTGTCAATCGCTACATAGCCTTTGAGACGAGATCGTCCAAATAAAATGACTGAAACTGGAAAGAAAGAATCTATAAGCTCCTGTCATTCTTCCGCCTTATTCTTTATGTGTTTTGTTAAGTAAGAGCTCGGGGGGGGGCTGTTCTATTCTGCCCCCCCCCCCAGTTAATTTTGACTTCTGTAATTAATCCAAACATGTATACTGCGCGTCACACCCCCGTTCCAGCACCTGGATGACTCCCGAGCCAATGCAGCTGAGCATGGTCATCCTAGTGTGGGCAATAAACAGCTCATCAAATCCACAGGCTAATACTATGGCGATAATCACAAATAGAGCGATTGTGCCACACGAGCTCCCCCTGCTGGACAGTTTTTTTTTCCAGCTCCCCGCGGCACTCAGTGGTACCGGCTGTACCACAAGCAAGGGAGACACACGGCATTATCAGCCTGATATGATTAACTACAGTGGTCCTGGAGTAGCGAACTGAAGGGCCCTACAGTCCAGTGTCACCTGGCACTTGACCTGCTGATGTCCATCACATTGGTCGGCTCTTCAAACAGAAACATGGATATTGAAGGCTTTTTTAATCTCCAGGATGACAAAAAAAAAAGCAATCGAAGGCCAGAATAAAGAACTCACCACCACCAATAAAGGATTTGTTTCATCAAAAACTATTTTTTCTTTTTATTGTACCGTATGTATGATCCATTCCACTCGTACCACAGATTAAAAAGTACTGGTTAAAACGTGAAATAACACAACCCACAATGCAATGGGGCAGGAAGTACAAAGGGGAGATATACAGCATCCTTGTGATCATGTGATGTGCCTTTGTGCACCTATTGGCTGGTTAATGCCAAAGCACTTTTTTTTCTTTTTTTTTTTTGTACCTCGATTAAATTATATCAGACAAATGGTCTGTATAGGCAGCGATGTCTGCATGCTTTGTGAGGGAAAGATATTAGTGCAAAACATGCCAGTAAACAACAGTGACGGCTGCCGGCGACGTCACCGGCCAGGTAACGGGTCCCTCAAGCCTTCTCTGACACCAGGGCAGAGTCGAAGGAGGCTGACAGTACCTTGCAGATCGCCTGTGCATGCTCCTGGACAAACAAGGGGTTCAGATGGGTGAGTAGGTGGTACCAGTGTCTCTAAAGCAGACTACCCCCAGACTACATTTTTGCTACCGGGAGCTGGGAGGGAGCAAAAATGTGAACTGTCTGCTAGGGAGTTTGGAGGAAGCAGAAACATGGACCGACTGTGGGTCCCCGAGGACCGGACTGTGTCACAACGCTGCTGTGAAACAGCCGGGGGGCGTATCTGCGCTCACCGCGGTGCTGCACTGATAGACCCAGATGCTGCACTCCAGTTGCCCTGCATCGGTGGTCTTCAGCGCCAGGAGGTTTTTCCCGGCGCCCAGCCCGTCGTCGTAACACAGCATGCGGACGATGAGGTACAGGGGGTGGCGATGCAGCACATCCTGCATGGAGGGGCGACGTGATGTCACAGAGGGGTGGGGCCACAGCCAAGATTCAGAAAAGGCAGGAAGGGAAACGGGCCTCGATCCCCTGCAGGGGGGACGCTGAAGGGCACACGGGGGAACTTACACTCTGATTCATAGAGGTCACCTTCACACCATGTCTAGAGACGACCAGGACCAACTCTTCATCTCCAGGCACAAATGGCAGCTTTCCGTCTTGCTTTGAAGAGGACAGGACAGATACTTCATTTTATTCTTTTAAAGTCACCTGTACTGGTCGCCTGACAGGAAGTGTGGCGTCCCCCGAATGAATGAGACTGCTTATTAACAGTACTGTCTGTTTACCGTTCGGAGTGAGGAGCAAGACCATTGGGCAGCAGTTCCAGCTTTATAGTACTCACCTGGGCGGCGTCGATGTAGCTTATCAGGTCCAACGGATCCAGGAGGGTCTTGTACATATCAAACCGCAGATTCTCAATCACCCCCACATACTTAACCCGGAACTCCACACAGGAATCTGAGGTGCTGTTACCTGGGCAGGGGGGCACAATGAATCAGGACCTCAGCACATCAACAGTGACCACGTCTGATCACAAACATCCAAAGTCCTCCTCAGATCCAGAAATTCATTTTGTCCTCTGAAGCAAACCGTTTTTGCTCATATCTCTTATACTGTACATGCCACTCTGTTGAGTCTTGTTGTTTCTTGAAGATGACAGTTGGGGCTTTAAGGTGATGCCACAAGTGAGGGAGTGTGACCTTTCCAACTTCCACGTCAAAGTTTTGATCAAAGTTTTAAAAACTTTTTACCCTGGATCATTGCAGGATACTTAGAGGTGTGTGTTCCTGAGTGTTTTGGCAACTAGTCACCAGGCTCTCCTAACACCTGTTTATGGTAGTAAAGAGGATCAGAGCTGCGATGCACCAGTCAGACTCACCCGAGCTTTTGGTGGAATCGGTGTCAAGGCTGGCGACTGTGCTGGATCGAGACAGCCCGCCCAGGCTGGACTCCACGGACTGCAGGAACGGAGAAAACAGCCGAGTAAATATACAGAAACAAAAGCCATGTCGCTGGCATGAAAGAAGCCAGCAAGACCCTCGGGGGAGGTGTCCAAACTCTGCCTGTGACTGTTAACTATTCTCTTCCCCTCCTTGTATATAAATACATTCTCATTGGCCAAGTTTACAGGCTTAATTAAATAGACTCATCTAGAGTGTTTAGTACTTGGGGCCAAGGGTTCAACTAGTAATTAAAACATTTTATTTTGAAGATCGGCACCTCATTGGATCATAATGAAGACTCTTCGTAAATGATGTCCTTGCAAATCACCACAAAGTGTATCTTGTTTTTTTTTTCAGAAAGTGCTAACCTTAAAAAAGTAGTTCTTAAATTTTTGGTTTGAAGATGACATAGTCAGTGTCCCAGGTCAATGTTTTTCAACCCGGTCCTCAGAACCCCCCAGACAGTTCATGTTTCTGCTCCGTGCCAGCAAAAAACATGGGCTGTCTGGGGGCCCCTGGAGAACTGTGGCTGCGAAACACTGACCTAGGCAATCATCACTGACCCCCCCCCCCCCCCCATTATACACCATAAGAAGAAAACATGAAACTGGGGGTATGGGGGGCATTGGTAGTGAAAGTTGCCAGAGTAGGGTGGGGCACCTTATGGTACCTGGTATGATAGAATGGTTAATGGTTTAATGATTTGCAACCAATCAATCTTGTTTTATTAAACAACAATCCAATGAAAGTTTGTATTGCACAAGTCTCTTTGCCAATGTATGCACTCGTATGGTGACCACAGTAGCCCCTGCTCTGGCAAATGTATGCTCAGAGCTGGTTAAACGAGCTGTACGGTGTCTGAGGCGCCTGGCACCTTGCTCTTCGTGCTGATCTCACTGCTCTGGGAGCTGCTGCTGCTGTGACGCTTCTTCCCCTTCCGGAACATTCTTCGGCATGACGTCAGCCCTCGAGAGCTCCGACCCTAAAACCTTGAGATGCACCAGAAGGAGGTCAGATTCCTCCAGGCTGGCGATCCGCTAGCAGTTTTCATTACTTCGTGGTCTTAATTTTTTAATTGTGTTTTTTTTTATTATTCTTTCTCTCAGTGTTTTTATTAAAATTAATTCAAAATATTATTTTATATCTTATTACCCACTTAATATAACTACAGTATTAACCGTTTTACGACTTGACCTCTGGTGCCAGGGAATTAATTATAATTATACGCCATAATTATAAGCCTTGACTTGGTAATAAATACAGACCGCAGCCGTCTTAATGCACCTCTTTCAGTTTCATCCTTGATTCGGTTTCACCTTCGTAATTGTATCTGCAACCAGACAGGAAATGCAGAGGCAGGCGGGGGGTTAGACAGCACACGGGCCGCTTTTATTACGGTAGAGGGCGTCCATATCCATCTTATTGTAAGCGCATCTTCCTATTGCTTTAAACTACTGGTTATTTTAACGCTCCCATAAAGAAAGCAAGTTATCTATTTCACCAGCGAACCAGAAATTTCGCCGAACTGGGTATTTTAGCTTAAATATGGAGCATGTTGAGTTCTCATTCATCGCAAGCTTAAGCCGCCCCGAAGTTTCTCAGTCCCGGTGTAGCCAGTCGGCGCGTTCACGCGTCCTGCCCGGTGGGACGCGGAGGCGCGCCCGTCACCCTAACACTCAGTGTTAAATAATAATAATAATTAATAATAATAATCGGCCCCATTGTCCCGGCGTTAGTTAGATAATTCAATGTTGCGAGTAACGGAAACGCGTCGCTACGATAAACAGACCCACCCCACCCACCCGAGATCCCCACACTGCATCTTCCTGCTTAAAATAACCCACGGCAGCGAACAATCGCGCAGAAGCAGCGCGGAAAGCGCTGCTTCCTATGCGGCCTCCCGGGGAATACCTCTGCGACGGACTCGCTTCGGTCAGATTACGGCTGAAGCGCGGCGTGTGTGCGCTGCTTTTTCCGGCGAGGCAGCAGTCCGCCGTCCCGTCTGCATTGCAGAGACTCGCATTGACACTTCACTTCCTCCGCGACTCCACCCGAGCTCGCTTAAAGGGGCCGCGTATGGAAAACCTGCACATATACCTACATACTTACTATGTATCAGGGGCGTAGTTAGAAATGACTGGATGAGGGGGCTGAGTCTTTACTGAGGGGGGGGGCATGACAAACTTATATAAAAAGCCATTCATGATTCATGACTTAAGCCAAGAAATACACATTTATTTAGGGGGAAGGTATATATAAAAGAGATGTGCATCTCCTTCTTTGAGGCAATTCGATTCGCATCTAGATGGCCGCAATAAAGGTACATATGAAGCAACTATTGTTGCAATAGGGTACGATTCACCCCTATTGTGATGCAGTGGGATTTGACACGATACGGCTCAGACCATCGCCAGACATGCCTCCAACTCACACGACACTTGGCTGACAGACTTGCAGAAAGATCTAAATATCAAATTATTGGTCAGAAAGTACTGGTCACATTTCTAAATAATATAGACATAGGTCTTGTGCTAATAGTTAAATATGAATGTAACCCTGGCTGTGTGCTGCTTCCCTCTTGATAACTCAGGTAGGGAGGACAGGGCAGAATGGTGAGGGAGGTGCAGGCCAGGCCCGGCATGACTCTCTGCGTTGTGTTTTGGCAGGTTGGTCATGTGACGTGGCGTGACGTGGTGAGGGAGGTGTAGGCCAGGCCCGGCGTGACATTCTGCACCTAGTGTTTTGTCACGTGGCGTGGTGAGGGAGGTGCCGACCCAGGTGCGGCACAGTGGCAGTAACTGCGGTAACAATATGACTTCAGGTGTTCTGACCACACTGGCAGCGAGAGCAATATGATGGGAGAGGTGGCTGATGGTGAATAACTTGTATAAAAAACAGCAAAGCAAAAAAATAAAATAAAAATTTTCCCATAGACATAAGAACAAGCTTCATACCCTTATTTTAGTTTCATATAATCCCCGTCCCACAATATTCTTCCGATATGTCAGCTATGCAAGTCGCCCAGCTTAAACGATTTACGTAGCAAATACAAAGGGAAATAGCACTACGTGCTTTGGACCCTTAATTACCGATGTATGTTTTTAAATGTTATATTTTTCATTTGACCCGTATACTATATTAAAAGTGTTAAGAGGTGGAAGACAAAAGTGAACCAAGGAGCTCCGACGGATAAGGCTCCACGACGGCTTTGCGTACAAGTGAGCCTCCTGCCAGACAGAGGGCGCTAAATGTTAGGCGCCGCGGTTCAAGGGTTCACTTCCGGGTCAAGGTACTATTGACAGAAACGGCAATTAGTCAGGTGCAGTATGTCTAAACTGTGGAGTATTGCATGGCCTCAAGTTGTTCTTTTTGGAGACTCCATCACACAGGTATGTGCAAATGAAAGTGATTATTATAATGCATGTAGTATGTAATGTTGATTATATTTTCCCCTTCACAGCTGAATCCGATTTTGTATTTCGAACTGCAGCTGTATAGTGTATTCCTAACCGTTTAACTGGATTTTGATTAGATGCAGGACTGATGACCGGAATTATGCGGCCCATATATACCATGATAATATCTGACTTTATGTTTTGTTACTGTTTTATCACTGAACGTCTTCATCATTTATAGGTTGGCATTTGGCTAGATTTGTCTTCTTTTTGCAGTTTTCTTTTCAAGCAAACGGATGGGGCTCCGAAATAGCAAATAAATTAGCCAGGTCAGTATTACATCTGAAAGACGGCTTCAGACGCGTTGTATATTAATTTCTTATTTTACTTTACTAGTTGTTTGGAAAGATGTCAGAAACGCAACACCCGACGCCTACTGAATGTCATTAACGTTGTTATAAGGGATAAGTGCGAGCATAGTCCCTTGTTTGCTCAGCATCTTGTTCATGTGTGAAGGAAATGCGATGTGGTGAACCGAGGATTCTCGGGATACAACTCAAGATGGGCCAAGATCATCCTTTCGCGCATCATTAACAACAACAATGTCGCCGCCGTTACCGTCTTCTTCGGAGCCAACGACTGCTCTTTGCAAGGCAAGTGCTCTGTGTTCTTCCATGGATCGTTGGTGCTAAAATGTCACGATATAAACATGTAGAACAGAGAGTTCTCGAGATTTTTGTGCCGGTAGGATGAACAATTCCCTTTTATACACTGCTGTAGATTTTTTTTCTTGACTGATTACTACTTCTTGTCAGTTGAATGATAAATGACTTGTATGACAGATCTGAGTATTGTGCTGCCTGAAATTAGGATATTATCAGATCGTTGTGGTTTTGACTCCTTGATTTGATCACACTGGTCCCCTGTTCTCAGACAAAAATCCACAGCAGCACGTGCCAATGCAGGAGTATGTAGAGAACCTGAAAGACATTGTGAAACACCTGTCCTCAGTGGAGATATCTGCAGACAAGGTTATATTGATCACCCCTCCACCTCTTCACGAGCCTGCCTGGGAGAAGGAGTGTCTCTTCAAAGGTGAGTGGAGGGGTCTGGGGCACCCCCTATCTGCTGGTGTGAGAGCAAGGGCCCAGAGCGCCCCCTGTCTGCTGGTATGAGTAGGCCATGACAGGCCACTTTGGCTCTACTGACAAAGAGCATAGAAGTCTCACTGCCTGATGGCTACACCTACTTGAACGCAAAGCAACAACAGTAAAGCCTTTTGTCCTTGTTTAGTGAAATTTCTTAGAAAAAGCATCAATAGATGACAAAGGCCTGTTATATAAGGGTTTTTGTCTTGCTTGGTAGAGAAACAACTTGTCTTGCTTGGTAGAGAATTTTTCCCTTCTGTATTGAGAACAGTGATGTTGGCATTTGGAGAAATGGAGACATTGTGGAGACATTATGGAGACATGCATGGGCGGGGGGTGAGGCTTGAACCCTGGTCCTGGGAGTGTGAGGCAATGTTGCTAACCATTACCCTACCAAGCCTCACCCTCACCCCTTTTTTTATTTTTATTATTTTATTTTATTTATTTTTAAAGATAAACCTGGATGTTCTTTCCTCACCATTATTTATGCAACAGTGCCGTTTCAGGCAAACTAGGAGACCAAGTTGTTAAGTATCTGTACTGGCTTGTGTGGTTTACTGGGCTAAGTGTCTGTGCTTGTGATCAGAAGGTCATGGGTTCAAGCCCAGCTGTGGCCTGCCTGTTGGTTTATAGGAAAAGATGGGGTTGTGTATTGTTATAAGTCTTGCTGCTTTCCTTGCTGCTTGCCTGCTCTCACACTTGTTTAATAATAATAATAAGCTTAATAATAATATCCTAACTGTATATTTGGGGGGGGACTGAGGTCATATGTCTTGGCCTCCACATGTGGTTGTGCATGATGGGAAGGCTTGAACCCTGGTCCTGGGAGTGTGAGGCAATGCTGCTAACCACTACCCTACCAAGCCACCCCTGTCCTTTATTTTGATTTCGCCTGGATGTCCTTCCCTCGCCATTAGTTATGCACCGATGCCGTTTCAGGTAAACTAGGAGACCGAGTTGTTGAGTGTCTGTACTGGCTTGTGTGGCTTAGTGGGCTAAGTGTCTGTGCTTGTGATTAGAAGGTCATGGGTTCAAGCCCAGCCCAGCCCAGCCCAGCCTTGGCCTGGCTGTCCTTTATTTGATTTTGCGTGGATGTCCTTTCCCAGGGATCGAATTTATCGACGGCATCTACGGCAAAAGCCGCCGTGCCTTAGCAATTTGC